TTTTTTTTTTTTTTTACCTAAAACTCTTCGGGGACCGGTTCTTCTTGTACTGCCTACTATAAAGGCAAACAAACATATAAGTCAGACATTATTTATGAATTATTAATTCCCTGTCACTGAGATGTGGGCTACAAACCGATAAAACTAACCTTGGATCATTTTTGTAAGTTTTTCAGAGTCAAAATCAGCGTTCCCTTCAATGGTGGAAACTTCAGAAAATTCAGCTCCTGAAGAAAAACAAAAACATCGTTAACGTGAAACTGCAATATGTTGTACAAAGATGCATTGTACTGTATGAAACTTAATATGACAACCTAGCCTTAATACACGAAGAATAACATTCACTTTGTAACTAAACGTGTTGAAACAGCTGCAACTTGAGCTTCTTTTTAATCACCCATTAGCATCCATTATTATCATATTTTAGTGAGAATACTTGTAACACATGACTTGAATTATGAATGGGTGTGATTTGAACTTATTTTATATTTATAAGTGGCAAATATTCCACTACAAATACAACCATATTTAATACTGGGAGATCACTGACCATCCAGGTTGATGTTGGAGGTGCCAGTGCTCTCTGAGTACTGAGGACCTGTAGATGACAGCATTCGTGAGTTCTTGATATAAAGCTAAAGACATATTGATTCAAGTAGAAAATATTTACCTGAGACAACCCTGGTGACTTTGGTGATGGAGGGTTGACCTTCAATGACCCTGGTAACCTTGGTGATGGTGGGCTCCCCTTGGATAACCCTTGTCACTTTGGTTACATCAGGAACTTTAAAAAAGCAAAGGAGGTATGTTTCACTACATTGAAATTACAAGCCCAGCATTGCCCCTCGATACAGAGAATTTTCCATTTGTATGCAGGTAACATAACAAATGGACCTTTCACTGGATCAGAAAGGTTGCTTTAAAAATGTGATTCATAATCAGAGGATTTCTGCCATCTAGTTTTTATATTTCATTTCAGCACATCTGTTCTTATTTAGTGTTTTACTTTCAGAAATGTTTTTAAAATATAAAAAATAGCTATTTAATTTCAATCAGTTTTTACTGCTGACTAGTACAGGAATTAGCCAGTAGCAGAAAAGAGGTTTTGTTCTCTTTAATTAATGCTACTTAAGCTGCTAAACCCTGCATGTGTGTGCATGCACTTTCATGTGTGTGTGGAATTATCTGGAGGGGTTGATCAGTACACATTTCTATTTAACCTTTCCTATTTTTTCCCATTTCTTCTTTCTGCATGCAACTGTTGCTGATTAGGAATCACATGATGATGATACTCTGTAATCATCATTACTTTACCTCTCTCAACGACACGAGTGATGGTCCTCTCTAATAACAACAGGAGATATAAAGCCATTAATGACAGTGGAGAATTCCTTTTAGTATATATAAAGTACAAAATAAAAACACAAATGTTGTTACTTACTCATAAATGTAAGGGGGATTTCCTGATATCTGAATCCTGAAATGTACTGTAAAAAAAGGTAGAAATCTGTTATTGCAGATACACAATAACAAAATAGCCTACAGTATGACCATAGTTAAACTCTTTTGTGTGTGCTGCATAACAAATCTTATGATTCATTTACCTGTGGAAAATCTTCATGATTAAAAGCAAAATTAAGTCAGACTCAGTCAGAACCTATACACTATAAAACCGCTAGCTAAATGCTCTGCACAGATGGTTTTCAAGCAGGATCTTGTCTTGCACTTTATATGGAGTTACATAAATTCTACTTTGGCAGCCATAGGAGGGATAAAAAAAACACATGCACACAGAAGACTGAACCTTGCCCTTTGTAAACCTTGCAGGTTTAATAACAAGAAGTACATTTTTAATATGACACCTTAATTTGCATGTAAGTGATGATCCTCTTCAATAGCATGAGGAAATCCTGGCTTCCAACAGGGATATCTGGAAGAAAGTGCAGGGCGTTAACAACAGTCGGGCCTTTGCAAAAGTTATAAATTGCAGAGTGCATCTCTTGACAGATTTACAAAAGGAAGGGAATATTAACAAAGTTGACTGGGTGAAAATTGTACCTCCAGGATACAAGACTTGGTTGACAAAGTGAACGACTCCATTTGTGGCCATGATATCAGATTCAGGGACTTGGACAGAATTCACTTGCATACTGCTGTTAGCCTGAGGGAGACAGTTAAAACAATTACAGACAAGAAAAACACAAAATGAGTGGCTTGAATGAACCTGTATTTTAGAATATCAGGAATGAACTCTATTTTACAGTAAATAATGTTATTAGAGTGCTGAGGTCACAGAGATTCAAGATTGATGATGGGATTTTATCACATAATAAAGAAGATACTACCATCATTTGACTAAATTACTAATTCAATTAAAGTTTTATACGCCTTTAAAGCCAAGTTTGTGGACTTATGTTCAGGCTTGTTGGACTAAATACTTACAAACATCACTTTGAGGTTGCTGCCCTGGAGAGACTTGAGAAGGTTTGTCACCCCAGTCTCCAAACCACCACCAATAAAGATACCATTATTTATGTGATAGAGAAGGATGGTTCTAAGAGCATTTATGTCACCTGGAATAAAGAATGATAAACAATCTTGTGTTAATTTTTTTTGTGTGATTATCAACTAGCAATATAAGTGTTTGAAACACATTAGAAAATAAAGGGAGTCTGGGTGATCTACCTTTCAACAAGTCAAAATCCCTTTCGCTCAAACCAGCAAAAGCCTTATCGCTTGGAGCGAACAAAGTGAAGTCTCCCTCCTGTTTCAGCAGGTCAGTCAAGTCAGCAGCTTCCATAAGAGACAAAAAGATCCTACAGCACAGAGAAGAAAACAGTAACTTGGCCGTTACAGAAACCGCTGAGAACTGACATACTGCATCAACAGCACTTTCTCATTCCCATATGTGCCATGTGGATTTAATGGAAAGATACAGAAAGATGTGGTTTGAGTATTATGCTTAATACCACAGTCCATTTTCACCAACATTGCTCTGTACTTACTTAAACCCTCCGTTTTCTGTCAGAATCTCAAACATAGTTTTTTCCGCCGGTTTCAAGAAAGTCTTCATGAGATGAAGGGCCCCGTTGCTTCCTTCCTTACTACCTCTTATCAGACAGGAATTCTCAATGCACACAGCCTGGAGAAATAATCCACAAGTAAAAGGCGAGGGGATAATGTTAAGTCTCAAAGATATCAAGATTGATGGTCAAATGACAGTGGTAATGCATATAAGGCATGTTTAGTGGCACCCAGCCACAATTTTGCTTTTGGCACAGCTTCAGAGAAATGGACGCACTGTGCGATAGATGAAGACTCTCAGGAATTTTCCTCCAATGGTCTCCAGCCGCTGGCCATTGTACAACTGTCCCAGGACAATCTTATTCTTCAAGATGTGGTTCTCCAGGATAATCCTGAGCAACCTCTGATCCATGGACATCACTTCATCTGTAGATGAAAGACATTTTTTATATTTATATTATAATTTCATTAAAAAATTAAACGTACCAGCAACATTGTACATTTAAATCTAATGTATTGGCTTTATCAGCAGAAATTCAGCCACAAAGTCCAGAGAGCAGCCACCATGATACTAACTGTGAGCAAAGACATATCAACTATCAGTGAATTAATTTACTGCACAGTTCTGTAGGTGGACCATGTACTGGAACCTACAAATCATGTCTGATGACTTGTAGGTAACTGCACTTTTAAGTCAGTGTAAATTTATGGTTTGAAGGTAAGGTTCCTGTTACATCCAGCTGTTGCTGCCTTGTGCATTCCTTGCACAAATTTAGAACTGTTATGTCTATAAAGATAAAAGTATTCTGCCATGATTAATCACACATTTTAGTTACGGAAACAAAACATCTCCATTCCCTTCGGGTAAGTTCAAGGAATGTTCTCTAGGGGAGTGGGTATTTGGTCTGGCATGAAGCTTCTGCAGTGTCTCAATAAATCCATAGCTTCCCTCAAGCTCCATGTATGTACATATCTATTACCTATGAGTCAGTACGTGAAGGAAAATAAAAAAAAATATTCCCCTTTGTGCCAGACTGTGAAAGAGTGTGGAGCAGCCAGGGTTCATATTCAGCCAACCACTGAGAGGAAAACAGAGGTACATGCAAGACATAATTATCAGGATGTGACTCACCATTGAAGGCAACATTGAGGGGAGCAAGCAAAGTGTACTCAGCGTCTGCCATCATGGAAGCAGAAAGGCCCAACTCAGACACCATGTCACCAAAGGTTGACTGGGAACTTCCCACCAGTTCCATCACCTGCTTAGCTTAAAGGACACAGGAAATCCCAACACGATTGAAATATGCTGAAAAATATACCTGACAAAATATATGTATTTTTGTAGTAAACAATGTACATTATAAGAGGAAAATAGGAGATGGGAGTCTAACCTGAGTCTGGCATGAGCACTTGGTCAATAAGGTGGATGACACCATTGGTAGTGACAATGTCCTTCTTAAGCACCATCTTGATGCCGTTTACTGTTAGGCTTTCACCATCACAGCCGATCTCAATGTTGTTACCTTCCAAAGTCTCATAAGAGCTGCCAGCTAAGATGGCCTCGGCACACTGGACTGAGTCCAGGAGATGGAAATTAAGAAGAGCTGAAAAGGCAAGACAAAGTTTTAAGTTAATTGTGGTTTTAGTGTATGGATGGATCTCAGTCGCCTGTGGTTCAGCACCGTCACCTTTGGTGTATGTGTGTATGTGCGTGAATGGGTGAATGAGAGGTAAAGTGCTTTGTCTGTTAAGGTAGAAAAGTGCTATATAAATGCATTCCAGTAGTTTATTTGAATGCGTAGTATGTCTGTTGGCTGCATGCGCTGTTTTATGTTCTTTCTCATGTTACACTGCAGCTGAGGATATAACGCCCTGGGAACCTTAAGACCCTTTGGATCCCGTGGGTCCTTGAGTGAGTAGATTTGTGATTTCTTCACTGTTCTGTTTAACTTTGTGTGAAATGGTCTGATCTCACACCATAGGGCAAGCTGTAGGCTAATAAAAAGTTATGGGTTGTTGCCAGTTTGACCAGTTTGCTCAATGTCGCAGCTGTTTCCTGCCTCTGTGTTGTTGCAAAATAGGCTAATGTTGAAAATGTTGAGATTCTGAAGATTTTTGTTGTTTTCTGACAATTCAAGTGGTGCAATTCTTGCAAATGTTTGAGAACAATATAAATAGCTACAGTACATTAATCCTGATCTACTCACAACATACATAACTCTAAAAAGTGAACATTATCAAAGTGTCAATGATGTGTTGCATTGTTTGACTTTCCACCCACAATTTCATGCATGAGTTGAAACTAGAGACTTATTTTTATTACACTTTGACGACAAAACGTTGTTATGTACAGCTTGCCAAATGTGCTTAAGTTCCAGATCCCTTGTGGCTTCATCTGTTTTAAATTGGAAGAAGTTGAATACATGAAAAAAAATCACTTTATGGGTGACTTAGTCTGCCATACATGCCGCCAGGGAACCACTGCAATTCTTTTCCTCTACCTTAATCATGAAATATAAATATGGTCCTGGTTTGCTACAGTTAATATAAATCCCCAGCCTCCGCTGTAATGTTTTGAATGGCCTTGAGTGATATTTTGTCCATTAAGGAACAGCGACAGACCTCTAAGAATAAAATGCTGGTTTACCTTTGATGACCTCCTTGTCGCTCTGAAGTCTCTCCAACACATCGATTCCCAGACTTTCAAAGGCTTCGTTGGTGGGGGCAAAGAGAGTGTAATGTCCTGGCTGACCCAGCTTCTCCAACATTCCAGCGCTTAGAGCCACATCCTATGGTGATTTTGTGTTTGAGTATGTTTAGTTACTTCAGTATAGTACAGTAGAAACAACTGCATAAGGTAGACCTAACAACATAATCATCTGAAAAATGAATTAGGATTAAAAAAATTATGTTCACTAATGTGCACTATCCCTGTTAAATGGGAAATTGTCTTCTTTTCCCTGTTAATTGTCTCACATTGCTGTGAAAACTCCAATTTCAAAGTCACATGCAACACAACGTGACCCACTTTGTGTTTGCAATTGCTTCAATATCCTTGTCCTTGAGGTGTTTACATTATTTAATCTCTCCCTGTATGTCTTATGTCTTATGTGTGCACTTACACTCAGAGTTGTCAGGTCATCGTCAACCTCGATGACATCCTGGATTGTCCTGCCAACAGCGCTGATAACACGGTCAATGACATGCACAACTCCATTGGTGGCAACCTGGTTGCCATAGATAATCCTGGCACAGTTCACAGTCACCACCTGCACATTACATACACTTCAATGTTATACCACAGAAAAGGTTTTTAGTTCAACTAAAAGGGGGCTGCTATGATAATACTGAATGATAATACTCACCCCATTGGAGTAATGATTAATGTGGAGACCGAGATCATTGTACATGGAGGTGACTGTCATTCCATTCCTTAAATCTTTGGTCAAGAAGCGTTTGTCGGCCATGTGATAATGCAGAGCGTTGTACAGTTCAATGTTCACATTGCTGACGAGTGCACTCCTCACTGTCTGTTAGGTGAGGGAAAATAGTTGTTAAAACCTCACAGTCAGAGAGGTTACACTGTCTTTTGTTTTGTTCTTGACTCACCTCATCCAAATTCTCCCAGGCATCATTGCTCGGGGCAAAGAAGGTGTAGGATCCAGATCCCTCAATCTCAGGCTTTAACTTTGAAATGTCAGCATAATTTTGAGTTGAAGTGGCCTTCACCAGGCCCAAGGTACCATACACATGGTCAATTGGGGCCACTAATGAAAGACATTTACACAAAGCATTATTGGATGTCAGCTTGAATGAATGTGTCAACAATATGCTAAGGCATCCTTCTGGAATGTGTTTGGTCTGATTTCAAAAATAGCACACAGCTGCTCTACAGTTGGAGGATATTGACTCATCTAACCTTTATAAATTAACTACACTGTAGCACATAACACACTGTACCTGCAGGGCAACCACGCATGCCCTCCAGCTTCATATAGCCTGGGCAGCATTCATAAAGGACAGTCCTGCAAAAAAAAACACACAGATCACAAACGTGGTTATCAACTCAAATTAGTAGCACATCCTTTATAGTTTTAATAGTGTTTGCAAGCATCTTTCAAGCTGAGCTAGAGATTTGTATTTTTTCTGGATGCCATGTTTTTAGCTGAATCATCATTTGGCTTAGTTCTTGTGTTTCCAGATGTTACTCATTATCTCCTTTATAGGCCAAAACCTAATGGAAAGGGTGCCTCAAGGATTATGCTACCATTACAGTAGTAGATTTATATTACCAAGACCTCCTCTTTGAAGCTAAACAATTAGTTTGGACTCTACTTGGCATTTGGTTAACCTCAGACATTAAGATGTCGGCCTTGAAAAACTGCAGTGTAATTATAGTTGAGTTTTAGGGAATTTTGGTTGAAACAGGGAACATTTAAAGGATTTGATGGTCTGTATGGATGTATTGAGCTAATCTGAAAAATAATATTATTCAATTGTCACCAGAGTTTTTACAGTTTTTCTTAAAGACTAATAATGTAAAGAATGACCATTGTGATTTCAATTTAGCTAAATTAGATATCATACCAAATCATAAATGTTTATCTACTGGTGGAGACACATGTGAGAAGCAGTGTCTCCTCTCCACTTACTGAAAACAGTGCTGGACACTGTAGCCTAGGGAGGGTCGTAAAATTCAAAGTGCAGCTGTAACATATAAGCAAGACTATATCCCTTGCGTCAGCAGGTTTGAGCATGTTGGAACTACTACTAACATTGTTTCCAGCTCTTGAAGACCAGACATTTGGAGATGAACATTTCACCCCAAATAACTAACAGGTATGCAACAGTAAAAAGACCCACAAGATATAAAGAACACCACAGATGTACCTATTAGAGGTAAACAATACCACATGTGTCCAGACTTGACTATAGACTTCCTAGTTTTTAGAAAACCCCAACAGGGAGCTGCTTCTTCCCCCATGTTCAGTTAAGCATGATTAAAATAATTATGACAAATAGTAAGAACATAATCAAGTCCTCGTCTTTTACAAATTGATGTCCTATAAATGTCGCAACATGTAGCATTATATTTGGTTGTGAAGGATTGGTTCTACATAACAGAAAAGGAGGATCTGAGCACAAAGAAAGTTCCGTATGTGTGTCGTTTATTGTTCAAAAGGGACAATAGTGATCAGCATGGTTTGATAACTAAAAGATGCTACAGAAATTTTAAATAGTCACACTTGGGCAAAAAACCCAACATTTCATAAATTATTATGAAAAATAAATAATAAAAGTCCATGTGGAATTAAATACAAACATTTATGCACAGGGATATGATGGTTGTTCACTGGTGTTGGATATTTACGACACAATAAGCAATTAATGACTAAACACTTTGGGTTTAAGGAGAAGACTTGTTCCCTTTACTGTAGAGGATTGCTCAAAGCTGATATCCACTGCTGATGTCTCTCTCAGACAGGGTACAGACTGAGGCTTCAGTGAGGGTCATGGCTAACTGCACCTCTTAGCTGTATTAGAATCAAAGTTGAATGGAATTGGAGGGACTGGGATGAGATCACACAAGCCCCACTGGGGCAGAGTCAGCAAAACGCTCGCTACATTGCAATCCCACACAGAGGGATTGTGTCTGGCCATGGAGTTGGAAACTTGTGACTTGTCAGCATCTCTATAAAAGAACCTTTCCACTAAGATTCATGAAAACTTTGTCAAACATTATATAAGTTATATATGGCTTTATTCCAATTCAACCCATCACTAATAGGCAGTTTGGTTGTACAATGTTTTCTTGGAGACACAGCTGCTCTACATTCAGAAATATTCTCATTTGTTAAATTAAACCGCAGTGGGTGAAATGAAAAGCACCAATTGCCAGAAAATACAGTAAAAAGTGCAATTTAAGCCGTATAAGATAATCTTGGTCCGTGAGATTTTCTGAATAATTTTACATGTTGCAAATGGTAATGCTTCCCTGTTGCTCATAAGTGCAATAGAAGATAAGTTATACCACTTCCATTTTGAATAAATGTTGTAGTCCTGGCTGGTCTAAATCAGTGTTGGATTTACAGCTGATTGTTTGTTTGCCTTTTAATCACCTCCACTGAAAGTGATGCTGACTGAACAAAATGTTTTGTAATTATTCTTGCAGATGGCAAAAACATCTGGGGAGCTTGTGAGAAATGATAGGAGGGTTACAAAAAATAATGTTATCTGTGTCACGATAATAACACTTGCTTACATTTGTTATCTGATGTATATGTGTATGTATATACCTAATCTGTTTAAGATAAATTCTCCTTTAACATGTTTGTCCATCCTCTGAATCAAAAAACTATTTCAGAAACAAAATTCTAATAAAATAAAATAAAATTATTTGGCTGTTCCAAACATTATCTTTTTCCAAGTTAAGTGAACAGTTTGCATTCATCGTGAAAAGAGCTAAGCCTATTTAGAGAGCTGAGCATGACTTAATAAATGCAGGCATAGAGGGCAAGCTGAATATGTGTGTGCATGTGAGAGAGAGGGAGAGAGACTGTAAAGTAGGCATGGCATCAATCCATGTTTAAACATAAAAGTGCTGAGGGGGCTGGAACAATAAGAGAAAAAGAGGCTGTCTAGAATGATTGAGCTGAATGCTTTTCCATTCATGAACAGTCAACATTTTGCAGCCACATCATATCCTGGAATCAGTGGTTCACCACTGTGGCATCTAGTGTTGACCAGGCTTCCTAAGTTATGAAAACCCTAACTTTCAGTTTAAAGGAATGAATAGGACAGTCTTCAGAACAAAGGATTTGGGGCTATGTCCATAAATGTGTTTTTCATTTTAAGAGGTAGTTTAATTCAAAGTGAGATAACAGATGTCTGTCTCTATGGAAACATTCAAGTTTCCATGAAAACCTTCAACGATAAAGCAGTAGTAGAAGAAGAAACAGACACAGAAGAGAAATACAACATTTTAAGAAACTTACAAACTAACACTCTAAACTTTATAGTCTCTGAATTTGCTTGTAATGTTCATCTTTAAAGAGGAGAAACAACTTCTCCTGTTGGAAACGTCAAACAACACTTACGCTTTCTTTCCACAGACGGCCCCTTGGTACCAATTACGACAAGTGCTAAAGTACTTCTTCTTGGTCCCCATGACTTGCTGGAGTGCACAGACATTGGGTCTGATAAGAAATGAGGGTGAGAAAGAAGATGAAGCATTAATCACTAGTAAAGTAAAACACATTGGTAAGATTCTATAAAACTCTGAAATAATTCATATTTAAATTATAACTGCCCTGCTGGGTAAGACAAGACTGTCAAAGTAATTATTTGCCAACCACCCCTTCTGAAACCAGGCAGTCAAATGTGAATAATGACATTCACCCTTTCTAGATATGAAATTGTTTTTTCAGATTTGAGCTATGATTCAACAACTATAGCCCTGCTGGTTTACACATACACGCCATAGGTTAAATGTAATATTATTAAACCTTAAAAAAAATAGACAAGACAGAAATGTACAAGAATTATTGATGCTTCTTATGCTCAAGGCTCAATACTATTGCATGCAAAATAATAATCAGAATGAAAAATATTGATAAGCTTACCCTTCTTTTCTTGCCCTGATGCGACTGTGGGCGACTATTTTGTCATAAGCTGAAGAGTCAGCCTTGTCAGAGAGCACAAAGAGTGCAAAGGCAGCCAAAAAAAGGAGCTTCATCCTTGATTTCTTAGCTAGCCCTTCCAGACCCAGAGTAACGGCAGAGGACTCAGAGTGAGAGCTTATATACCACAAGTCTCAACCTCCACTCAAGGAGGATGGCAACATTTCATGCATGCATGGACCACCCAGAAACTCTCAAACCCCACATGTCTAATTGTCTATGCAAAAATGTATTTTATCATTTTTGTGTTATATTATATTTAGTGCATTTTT